TCATACTCCTGCAACTCTTAAATCGTGAGAAAACTTCTTGGCTCGACCTTCATGTATGTTATAGTTCTTTTTCAGTTTGGTGACCCCTGTTATCCACTCTTCTGGGGTGTTTCCTATGCCAGCATTTTAAAAGGCTTGATTGACCTTCTGGAAATCTTCATGCATGGTTTCTATTTTGGTGCTCAATTTGTTGTTTTCAATCTTTAAATTACGTATTTAAGACTCAGACCTCAGCAAATCTTCTTCTTTTTGGGTGCCCCTACTGATGCTCTTACCTTTGACCACTTTTGGTATTAATCTAGCAGGACCTTCAATTAACAAACTAGGTTGATCATTTATCCTAAACTCTAAGATTCCATTATCCAAAAGACATTGGACTCGATGTTTGAAGGCAAGGCAATTTTCAATGGTATGTCTTTGAGCTCCGGCATGATATTCACAATAAGCGTTGATGTCATATCAATTCGGATACAGAGGTTGAAATGGCTTCATATAATGCAGAGCTGCTTCAATTAGCTTCTCGTACAACTCCTCATATGATATAGGGATAGCATCAAAATGAGAACCACCTTTTGTCGTGGATTGAACCTGAGTTTTAGACGTCGGGAGCAGACTAAACATCGACGATTTCAGATTACATGATTTCTTCCCAATTCTGGGAGCTTTTACAGTTGTCACCATTTCCTGGGTATCTCCAGATAATTTGTGAATACGAATGATGACTGTCTATAATTTCTCAATTTGGTTAAGATCGGAAGTTCCTTGTATATCTGAGATTGCACGGTTATGTTCATTGAGCTCTCTCTCTTTTTAAGTAGAAATCTCTTTTCCTTTGGCCAAAACAGATATTCTACCCATCATCTTGGACATCTGCTCTCTTATTTCTCGTATCTCCTTTTGCTCTTCAACAGGCATATGATCTTTGGGTGTATAGCTCTCCTCTATCTTCGGAGTCCCCTCAGGATGTCTTTCCTTAGCTACGTCATAGTTTACTTTATCATAAAACTTTTTTCCATTTATGAATTCTTTCCAATTTGATGAACAGTCTTTCAAATCAACACCTTTTGGTTATGCCATGATCATGCAATGCAAACAAAAGAAATTAATATAAACAAATTAGAGCAAAATAAAATGCATGGGAAAAAATAAGAAATAAATAAAATAGTTAGTACCAACTAATGGAAAGAAAAAAAAATTTATCTATCAAGGTATAAATCTTAACCTCGTGTTTTCTAGTTCCATGCTTTGTTTGGAAAAATTAACCTAACTGCATGATTTCTAGTTCACATGCATTTATTTAGAAAAAAATGAAATCAAAAAAATTAAAAGCTAGAACTTATTTCTCCTTTGTGTACACCTACGGACAGAGGTTCAGTCTTGTCTTAGATTGGGTGAATTTCTAAGGTTTATTATATGCAAGGTTTCAGTTCTAGGAGTAAAGGTACTCGAACTATCCTTGTTGGTGCCCCCTTGGGCTGCCAAACCCTCAATCCTAGTCCATCACAGACTTAAGCGGACCAAGTTCAATTCGAGGGGACACATTTCCCTATGGCTGACACGGAGAATAAATTCTCACTAAGACATAGAGCATATGAGCCCCGAAAGTTACTTGCTAGGTCTGACACGGAGAATAAATTCTCACGAAGACGTCGCTTTCACTCCCACTTAAAAGGGACAAGCTTGATTATAACGCTTATATTATGCAATGCACGTGTTATGTGTGAGGAGAAATTTTCACACATAATTTAATATCTAAAAAGCAATCAAATATACAAGAGTATAAAATAAATTGAAAGAAATCAAAAGAATCATAAATTAAATAAAATTAAATTCTTAATTTCTAATTACAGAGACAACATATAATCGAATTTGGTTGACCAGAGTCCCCAGTGGAGTCGCCAAGCTGTCGTAACCGGTTTTCGCCCAGGTACAAATTTTTACTTGGCGGGAAAAATAATGTGGATAAAAAATGATTTTGATTTTAAAAAATGTTTTGGGAGTCGCCATCTGCCTTTTGGATTAGGTAGGTCGAATACCTAAAAACCAGTTAAAATATAAACTGGTATGTGTTTAACAAAAAATTCGTTCTTTTTAATAATAAAAAAGGGATTCACGGTCGGTTACGTTTGGGGAAGGATTAGCACTCCCACAACGCCCAAAATTGGTTCTTATCAACTATAAATTGTCTCTAATATTAGAATTTAAGAATTCGAATATAAATTTAATTTATGATCCTATTATTTCTTATTTTAATCGGATAATTCTAAGGAAGAAAAAGATATTAAATAATTTTTATAAATTATAAATAAAATATTTATTTGTTTAAAACATCAGAAAAGGACATCTAGTTGCTTTAAGATTGCCCTTTCTTAATATTTGAAAAATAAATAAATATTAAAAATAATAATTTTTTCCTAATAAAATAATTTAAATAAAACAATATGTGTTTTCTGATTTTTATAAGTATGATATTTATTTATTTTTAATATATCAGAATAGGGCATCTAGTTGCTTTAAGACTGCCCTTTCTGAGTATTTAAAAATAAATAAATATTATTATTTAATCATATTATAAAATTATAATATTGTATTTCATGTAAATATTAGTAAACAAAAATAAATAAATAAATAAAATATTATAGTTAAAGTATAGGATAATAAAAATAAAATTAATGCTATATGATATTTTATTATTAATATAATATTAAATAAAATAATAATAATGATCAAAATAAAAGAAATTAAAAAAATAATATTAAATTGCAAAATATTAAAAATTCATGGTCAAAAATGAAAATTAGTGATTAAAATGTAACATATTAAAATTAAAAGCTCTAATTAAAAATATTATGAAATATAATAATTAATAGTGTAATTTAACCATAATAATTCACATTGGATTAAAATAAATTTAATAAAATTATAAGGGACTAATCATAATATTTACCCTGAATATATATAACTACGGTGCAGTGACTAAAATATAATAAAGTAAAATTGAAAGTCGAAATTAAAAGGCACATAAAATTATTTCAGTGGCTAAAATTACAGTTTACAAACTTTAAGGGTTGTGGAAAGGGTTTACCCTTTTCCTAAATTGCATTGACACCCCTCCCCCAAAACGACATTGTTTGGGAGAGAGTATATAAACCCTTTTAACCTGCCCCATAAGGGTCAAACCTCTCATTTTCCTCTTCTCATTCTCTCTCTAAGTGAGAGAGATGAGAATTCTCTCTCGCTTCTCTCTAGCTTCCCCATGCTGAATTTTACATAAATACCCCAAAATGAAGCCCTGAACCTCCCCAGGCCGAATTCAGCCTTAGTTTCCCCTAAAAAAACTCCTGATCGGAGTAGATCTAGAGAAATACCTTTGGGTATTTCGAATGTTTCGTCGGCACGTAGCGTCTCTGGTCACCACATGGTCTCCTCGGTAAGCTCTATCTTTTCTTTTCGTTCTATTTTGGTTTACTGCTTGTTGTGGGTTCGTGTTCTTGTCGTTGTTCTCTCTATTGGTTGCCGTCGTGGTCCTCTCTGTCGCTGTTCTTCCTCTATTTTGTGTTGCTCTCCTCCTCTTTTTTTTTGCAGAGGATAGTGGCTTTTATAAACACCACGGTGCTCGCCATGGACCGGTCTTTAAGGTGGATTTCGGTGAGTCACCGAACTATGTGGTGACTCATCTCATAGCTGCGACGTGGACGACCGTTTGGGTCTTCTGGAAGCTTCTAGCGAGGGCGGCAGCAGCTGGCTGAGGCACCTGGCAGTGGAGGTGTAAACGTGGGGCGGCTGGAATGCTCTTGGAGGCGGCGGTTGGGCAATAGTGCATCGGCAGCGAAGAGGCAGCGGCCACATGGTCCCTAGGGTATCATAACCCTAGGGTTTATTCTGGATGCATCAAGGCCGTTTGATCTTGCCAGATCTAACGGTTGAGAATTGAGGCGGCTGGAAGCTTAGATGGAAACCCTAGAAGCATTGGGCTATCTCGGGTTTGGGCCAGTTGTAAACGGGCCTTAGGGTTTGGTTGTAAATGGGTCGGGTTCTTTGTAAATGGGCTTGTAATTATTTATTTAATAATAATATATAATATTAATAATAATAATAATTTTAATAATAATAATAATAAAATGAAATGAAAAAATTAGTGTTTACACTATAAGTAGAAACGAGAAAGTAATACAAATGCATGCAAAATTTTCCTCTAGCTTAATTAGAATTGTATTATTAATTTTTTTCCTTTCATTTATTTTTCGAATAAAAAAATTAATTTAGGCCAGGTCAAGTTTCTCATATATAAATTGGGTCAGGTTCAGGTTAGATCGAGTTTTGGATGGAGGAGTTATTTTTTTGGGTCAGATCAAATTAGTCGAAATCAACTCAACCCGACACATGCCCATCCCTATTCACAAAACAGCCAAGGCATAAAAGGAAGCCTAATTTCTATTCTCATAAACATGAGAAAAATGGAGGAATATATGCCCAAACCTATTCAATTCACGCTTTCCATCAATAGCTCCATACAAAAATATATATTATTGTCACCAGTGCTGTGTATTGTTCTCAAACTGATTCTCTGTAAAATAAAACTTGATGAATAAGCTGGTGAACACAAACTGATAATTATATATTAATATTTAGAAGGAACATTTTCTCAGTTTTCTTCTTGATTGATTCCTTGTTTACGTCATAAGATGTTTGGTTTCATTCGTCACACAAATTACGCATCATTCGGCTGCTGTAAGTAGTCCAATTGGAAGTCTGACAGTAGGGACGAACCTAGAATTTCATGTTAAGGGATAAATTTAGAAAGTTTGAAGTATGTGATAACTTTTAAAATTTTAAGAGGGGTAAAAACATATTTTGAATAGAAAATACAAAGAAAATATATAAAGTATATAAGAATTTGAATTTTTAGGGGGCGACTAGGTCCCATCCTGACAGTCCTGCATGTATAAAGCAATCAAATGCAAATGCCCTTTGCTCATTGATCATCCATTCAATCTCTCTAACCATGTGCATATGTGTAACATGCGACTGCTGCAAAGCTAAATGTAATTGCAAGGCCGGAGATGCCGATTGCACTGACTTATTCTTAGCCTTGGCCATGCCTCCTATTGGAGTTTTGAGAAAACGAGGACCTAAGGTAATTTCTCCATTCCAATTCTGTCCTTTTTCTTTCGGTACAACACCATCCGTCCAGCGGTCGATAGTCACATTTATTTGAAGTAGACTTGGATCGAATCTTTAGGAGGACAAAGTCTCCCAACTTCGAAACATTTCTTAAAGAACATCAGACTTATTATCTTCGATCTAACATTTGTTTGTGATTTCATTTTCTTTATGTCCTTGATCTTAAAACTAATTAAATGTTTGTAAATATTTCATGAATCTAAGCCCTTTATATATATATAATATTGCAGAGGCAATTCTGGGTGAGTGTTTGCCTGACAATGGCACTGTTTGTTCCAGGAAGCGTCTACGCTGTTACCGTAGTCATATCCAAGGAGAATAGAGGAACAAAATAAACTGAGATTTGTGTTTTCATCAAACTTATAATACAATTTTACGCTCTTAACATGTCTAATGTTGAAATATATAGATGACAAATTAGTTTAATTTAAGAGTGACGATTTATCATTATTTAAGGGTTACACATCGTATATCATGGTATATATTTCTTCATTTCTTCATTTCCTCATAAAGAGACATGTCCTAAGGAAAGATTGTGACATTTCAAAGTTTTATCTATTAGATGCATATAAATAGGTGATCTATGGTTTTCTTCAAATGATTACAAACAATCCAATCTTCTCTAATAAGAGTAATAATAAGGAAATTTCTTAGTTTTACTTGTTAAAGGAAATTTAAACTTTGTTGCATTTCAGGAGAACTTTTGTCTTAACCCTCTAATAACTTTGTGTAAGGATAAATAGTTCTGTTTGAAAAACGTCATCCGCAACTCAAAATTTTTTCGTGTCCGATTATATCGTCTTCATTCAGATTCCAACATCTAATGCATAAACCAATTCATTATAAATTACTATAAATATTGTGGTGTATGTATAATCATTAGGGGTGAGCATTCGATCGAGTCGAGTCGATGCAAAATATTTCGAGTTGACGAGTCATATTTTATAACTCGAACTAAATTTGAAATTTTTTCAAGTGGAGTCGAGTTTAAGAAATTTAATTGTAATATTATAATACAAATTTATTCCAATATTTTTACTTTCTCTAACCATTTAAGATATATATATATATATATATATATATATATTCATATTTTTTCACATTACAATGTTATTTTGTATATCGCATACAATCTAAAATTGAAAAATATATTTAAATATTGTATTTTAAAGAATGTATTTTGAGGATAAAAGATTAATGGAAGTATAAAGGAGTCAAAGAATTGACGTGAAGAATGAATTTGTAAACAATTGTAGTCAAAAGACTAAATTGATTAAAATACAAAGTTAAAGGATTAAATTTTAAAAAAGAATATATTTTAGTAAAGAAAATAAGAATTGAAGTTACATAGATATTCCGTAGTGGGTGGGGGAGCATGTGGTTTAAATTTAGTCAAAATTCGTACTTAAAATAAAAGATGAATTGAAGAAATACTGAAATCATGCAAAATTGAGAGACTAAATTAAAAAATTTAAATTTTGTTATTTAAAAAGGGAATTGAAAGTATGTATTCTATGATGGTTTAGGAGCATTTAGTTCAAATTTGATAAACTTTTGACTTTAAAATGAATGATGAATTGAAGGAATATGAAATCAAGGACCATATCGTAAATCTGTCAAAATACTTATTCTAATTTTCGATATTTTGAGTTACTCGAAATTTTGAAATTTCAACTCGACTCGAAAATCAAAATTATATTTCAAGTTGACTTGAATAAATCGAAATTAAAAAAAATCCATTTTTTTAGTAAAGTCGAATTTTACTCACCCTTAATAATCGTTCTTACATAAACATCACGGCATCACAACAAGCATAAGACCGATAAGATGCAATAAAAGATTCTGAGCCTTGTCCGTGCCCCATGAAAACCCAGGGTTTTTTTGCTCAAGTTTTGGTATAATAGATTTCAACTTAGCCCACTGAAATAGTAATTTTTGGTGGATCCTCTGGAAACTCCATTGACCACTATCGAATAACAAGATGGAGAACCTTTGGAGTGGTTCTAGTGGTTAAAAAATTTTTGTTCATACATAGTGACTCGGATTTGAGCAGTATAATTTTGTATCTTTTCAAAAAGGTAAAGCACACAAATAGTCTCTCGACTATAATGTATTACTTTATTGAGTCCATCGACTATTAAAAATTATAGTGGTTCTTTGACTATAGAATGTTACTTTGTTGAGTTATCTGACTATTAAAAGTTACAAAATAGTCACTCGACTAATATATGTTCCAAACTCGTCATTTTCTGTTAAAAATTGACAATTGTTAGAGTTAGATGTTAACCTGCTGAGTGTGATATGATAAAATCATAGTTTAACGTTGTCTACTAACATTGGTGTTGCTTCCAAGCATGGGGTCGATGGCATAATGTTTCAAACACCGACTCGAATGCATAATATAAATAGAGACTCAATTCACAAAATACTACTCAAACAGTTCTCAAAACATATTTTTATCATATCTCAGTTAGTAACTTAACGAACAGCTCAGACGACTACTAAATTTTTAATGAAAAAGAATGAGTTTGAAACATATGAATAGTCGAACGACTATTCTATAACTTTTAATACTCGAGAGACTTAACAAAGCAGTATTTTATAGTCAATGAATCATTTTTATAATTTTTGATAGTCGAGATACTCAATAAAGCATCGTCTTATAGCCGGGGACCATTTGCATACTTTACCCAAAAAAAATAACAAGATGGCTTTATATTAGAGAGGAAAACAAAGAGGTGGTCCAGAGCTCTGAACAATTAAGGGGAATGTCTCAGGAACGGCGGGTTAATATACGGCTAATATACGGCGTTAGCGGATATATTAAAAGATATTTAACAAATTCGGTTTAGCGCTACCGGAAATGTTGACTAATAATAATGTAGTAGGTCTAAGTCATGAAGAAATATTAAAAAATTGTGCAACCGGCAAACTTAACTTGTCGGTTCGTGTCGATCCAAATTAAAAATGTATCGATCCACAACGATATAACAGGTAAAACTATGACAAAACCAGTATTGAAATGATAAAACTGGTAAAGCGGTACCGAATATATTTAAAATGTCGGTACTTTAATATAAGGATCGACACTTCGTTAATTTAAAAGAGAAGCAGTTTTAGCGCCTATAAAGTGTCGATACTTTCAAAAAATATATCGATCAACAACGATATAACAGGTAAAAATATGATAAAACTAGTATCAAAATGATGAAACCGGTAAAACGCTATCGGATATATTGAAAGTGTCGAAACTTTATATAAGGATCGACACTTTGTGAATTTAAAAGAGAAGCAGTTTTAGCGCCTATAAAGTGTCGATACTTTAAAAAAATGTATCGATCAAACAACGATATAACAGGTAAAAATATGATAAAACCGGTAAAATGATACCGGATATATTAAAAGTGTCGATACTTTCGTAAGTACGTGTAATAAATTATCGATACTTTCAAAGAAATATGTAATTATCCTTTCGAAAGTATCGACACCTGACATAAAAGTATCGACACTTTTGTATTTGTATCGATTAAATATAAATAACATATCCGATGAAAATATAAAGGTCAATACATTTAGGTATGTACAATATTTAGGTATGTACAATAACTACCTAAATATGTGTCAATACATTTTCTACCTAAACATATTGTTAAATTTAAATTCTAAATAATATTTTATAAAATATCAAAACAATCAAATAATTTTTTGTGTAAATGAAATTATTAAATTAATATTGTTGGTAGAAAACATGAAACACTATTAAAAAAAATTGAAATATAAATTACATAACTTTAAAAAAAGTATGAATGCTTTTTATAAAAAGTATGAACACTTTCAACATATCAGGTAAATTTTACCTTTTTTAAAAGAGAAGAAGTTATATCGTCAATAAAGTGTCAATACTTTATAAAAATGTATCGATCCATAACAATATAACAGGTAAAAATATGACAAAACCGGTCTCGAAATGACAAAACAGGTAAAGCGCTACCGGTTATGTTGAAAGTGTCGATAATTTATTATACGTATCGACACTTTTGGAATTTAAAAGAGAAGAGTTATAGCGCCAATAAAGTGTCGATACTTTATAAAAATGTATCGATCCATAACAATATAACATGTAAAAATATGACAAAACCGGTCTCGAAATGACAAAACACGTAAAGCGCTACCGGTTATGTTGAAAGTGTCGATAATTTATTTTAAGTATCGACTTTTGGAATTAATAAGAGAAGAAGTTATAGCGCCAATAATGTGTCGATACTTTATAAAAATGTATCGATCCATAACAATATAACATGTAAAAATATGACAAAACCGGTCTCGAAATGACAAAACAGGTAAAGCACTACCGGTTATGCTGAAAGTGTCGATAATTTATAATAAGTATCGACACTTTTGGAATTTAAAAGAGAAGAAGTTATAGCGCCAATAAAGTGTCGATATTTTATAAAAATGTATCGATCCATAACAATATAACAGGTAAAATATGACAAAACCGGTCTCGAAATGACAAAACAGATAAAGCGCTACCGGATATGTTGAAAGTGTCGATAATTTATTATAAGTATCGACTTTTGGAATTAATAAGAGAAGAAGTTATAACGCCAATAACGTGTCGATACTTTATAAAAATGTATCGATCCATAATAATATAACATGTAAAAATATGACAAAACCGGTCTCGAAATGACAAAACAGTTAAAGCGCTACCGGTTATGTTGAAAGTGTCGATAATTTATTATAAGTATCGACACTTTTGGAATTTAAAAGAGAAGAAGTTATAGCGCCAATAAAGTGTCGATACTTGATAAAAATGTATCGATCCATAACAATATAATAGGTAAAATATGACAAAACCGGTCTCGAAATGACAAAACAGATAAAGCGCTACCGGATATGTTGAAAGTGTCGATAATTTATTATAAGTATCGACTTTTGGAATTAATAAGAGAAGAAGTTATAACACCAATAACATGTCGATACTTTATAAAAATGTATCGATCCATAACAATATAACATGTAAAAATATGACAAAACCGGTCTCGAAATGACAAAACAGGTAAAGCACTACCGGTTATGTTGAAAGTGTCGATAATTTATAATAAGTATCGACACTTTTGGAATTTAAAAGAGAAGAAGTTATAGCGCCAATAAAGTGTCGATATTTTATAAAAATGTATCGATCCATAACAATATAACAGGTAAAATATGACAAAACCGGTCTCGAAATGACAAAACAGATAAAGCGCTACCGGATATGTTGAAAGTGTCGATAATTTATTATAAGTATCGACTTTTGGAATTAATAAGAGAAGAAGTT